GTTCCGTGGGAGAAAGATGAGGCTTTCTGCTCCAGTAAAGATTTACAGCCTCGGAAACCCTGTACAGGGTCGCTATGAGTCGGAACCGACTCCACAGCACATAACAACAACAACAAATATTTGTTAAATTTTTCTTTTCAGTTACACGTATAGCTACCTTTTTTTAAAAAACTGCTACTCTTCCAACTCTAGAATCTTAAGACCTATGAATTTTCAACATTTTAAACTGAATATTCTGTATGTTGTTATTGTATGGAATCCAGTCGGTTCCCACTCATAGTGACCCTGTTTTTTTGAGAGCAGTTGACCTTGTAACTCTCAGTTCAGTGCTTATCCTACAGTGCCAAAACTAGGGCTCTAAATGGTCTATATAGATTGTATCAAAATATATACAATAATTGACCCTTGAACAGTGTGTAGGTTACGCATGATGACCTACCAAGCAGATAAAAATCTGCATATGATTTGCAGCAGATCCTTGAAAATCACAAGTTTAAACTGCATGGGCCTACTTTTACACAGATTTTTTTTTTTTATGTTGCCGTTGTGTTAGCAGTATCTGCTTAAAAACTCTTGAGCTCACCCTAATAACAACAGAAAAAATATCATGCCGTTCAAGCTCATATTGTTCAAGAGCCACTTGTATATAGGGTACTTTAGAATTGGGGTTATATATTGATTTTCATGTCTCGGATGCTTTCTATTGATTTTAACTAGTGTCTGTTACTTGCTCTTTTATCAGTAATTAACATTGCTATCAAATCAGTAAGCCCTTCACAGCCCATGGAGAATGTCTTATTTCCATTTTGTTTCATTATACTTTTCTTTTGGTCTTTTAAACCATTAGTGAATTATATGAAAATGACTTCTATGTCAAGCCGTATCAGAGTTAGAACTGCTAAATAGAGTATATATATATTTTTTGTAAACATTAAATAAATACTTAAATGGAATTCTAAATATCTTCATGAATCAATTGTATGTTTTTACCTCACTGTTTTAGGCCTTCTCGTTTTATGGATGTGTCATTACGTAGCTTCTCCCTTTGTTGTGACTTGTTAAGTCGGGTTTGCCAGACAGCAGTGACTTACTGTAAGGATGCTTTAGAAAGCCATCTCCACGTTATTGTTGGCACACTTATACCCCTTGTGAATGAACAGTTGGAAGTTCAGAACCAGGTAATCTGAATAATCTTCAGAACAGTTTTTGAAATACATTGATAAAGTTTTGTTGCAAGGAGTTGAGTTTTATGTTTACTTGATGGTTGGAAAAACATTCTGAATGTATTAATTTTGTAATCAGTTAATTACTAGTAAATTTGATTTAATCAATAAGCGTGTCATTTCTATTACTTACGATGAATTGTAGACATAGTCAAAACTACAGATAATAGTTCATATTTTTCACTATGATGGTATGAGATTACTTATATAAAATATTTAAGTAATAGTGACATTTTTATACTACACGGCAGAGTCTCTAGTAGCACATTAGATACTCATTGAATTATTTGAAAGCATAGAAAATTAACAAGTGAATATCTTTAAAGTAATTAAAACATTTTATTTGTACTGGTTCATTGGTGTTCATTTTTATTGCATTGGGTTTTAAATGTCTTATGCTAACATGTAATTAAGCCATTTCTCACCTTTCAATATCTTTATTTTGAAATTATATTTAGGTATTGGACTTGTTGAAATACCTAGTAATAGACAACAAGGATAATGAAAACCTCTATGTCACAATTAAACTCTTAGATCCTTTTCCTGACCATGTTGTTTTTAAGGATTTACGTATTACTCAGCAGAAAATCAAATACAGTAGAGGACCTTTTTCATTATTGGAGGTAAGATTGTTTTGTCATTTTACTGTTTTGTATTAGCATAGGCAATTGTTGTTGTTGAGAACCTTTTAAACAAGTGTCAGCTTTAGAAATATAAGCTGAACAAGGGAGATCCAAAATGTTCATGGAAAAATTCCATTCTTGGTTCATTCCATTTTTCTATGAACTTTTTGTAACCCCCTGATAAATTGTCTTATATTGCAGCAAAGGTATCAGAGTTACCTGGTAAGGATCTCAATTTAAGTATTCAATGAATGTGATATAAAATGTGCTTTATTTTGATGTATATAAAATCCTGTGGTCCATTAATAACTTAAATTACGATCTGGTGCTTTGAGGGACAATGTAATGTTTGCATTTAAAATAAAGTTAACCTTTTGGGGGGTAGGAGTAAGAATTGAGGGTTAAGATTGGGTCTACGACTAGGTCTAGGTTAGACCTAGGACTTTGTTTATTGTTAGGTTAGGAGTAGGGTTAATGTTAAGGTTAAGGATTGGGTTAAAACTATGAGTAAGTAAGGTTTGGTCCAGTTTTAGGTTGTTGTTGTTAAGTGTTGTTGAGTCAGTTCCTACTCATAGCAACACTATCTGTATAGAGTTTCTGAGGAGCAGCAGGTGGGCTTGAACTGTCAACCTTGTGGTTTGCTGTTCAGTGCTAATCTTACAGAGCCAAGCCAGGAGTCCAGTTTTAGGGCTAGTTAATTTTTTTCTTGAAATCTATTTGATTTCCTCTTTGTTTGGAAGTTCAGTAACTATATTATTCCTTCTTCTTACTCTTTGGCTCTTGATTTGCAGCAGATCCTTGAAAATCACAAGTTTAAACTACATGGGTCCACTTTTATACAGATATGTTGTTGTTGTCAAGTGCCGTCGAGTTGGTTCCGACCCATAGCAACCCTGAACAGGGTTTCCAAGGCTGTAAATCTTTATGGGAGCAGAAAGCCTCATCTTTCTCCCACGGAGCCGCTGGTAGTTTCGAACTGCTGACCTTGCAGTTCATAGCCCAATTCGTAACCACTATGCTATCAGAGCTCCTTCCAGTTGATACAGTGTCCCACATAAATCTTAGGCTTTCTTTGGATGTTTTTTGTTCTTTAGTTATTTTGTTAGTGTGTTTGTTGAATTTTTCCTTAGTTTTGTCTCTGCTTTCCTTGATTTCATCTGTATCTTTCTCAATTTTTCTCACCATCCAATGAAGATGCCTAATTAGCATTCTTTTAAATCCCTTATCAGGTAGTTCTGATACCTTTGCTGGTGTTACGTTTCTGGCTCTGTATGTTGGTCACTTGTTTGCGGTACTCTGTCTTGTTTCTTTGTATAAACTGAAGTTGTTTATTTTCTTTGAGGCATTGTGGTATCATATTTATGTTTAGCTGATGCTTTTATTTTAGTTTGTTCTTGGCACTCACCACATCTGTGGATGTGGTAGTGACAGAAAATGTGAACAGTTAGCTCTCAGTTTACTGTTTGTGTAGCATACTTCAGGGTTGTTCACACACCTCCAGAAGCAGGGGCACTATGCCAGCCAGACCCCAGGCAGAGCCGAGGATGTGCAGGAGGGCGTGCCACTGGCCTCTGGACTGGGAAAGGCAGGAACAGTCATGCTACCAGTTACTTGTAGGGCACTGGAACAAGAGAGACTAACACTCCCTTGCTGCCAACCTCCAGTTGTGTGTTGTGCCTGCAGGCTGCTGTATCAACAGCTGCTCACAAAAGCTCAAGATAGCTGCGCTATGCAAAGCCAGCCCATAGTCTGCCTCTTTCTAGGTGCTGGACACAACTGCTGTTGTTCAGCTTCCTTTTCTAGTTAGCATTCAGCCCACCTCTCTGTACTGTCCTGATGCTCAGGGTTCCAGCTTATGCTGTGAAAAATTTTTTTGAATACAGTCAGATACAAAATTAGGTAAACTAATAGGTAAAAAGAAATTTAAGCGTTCTGCTCCAATTGCGTATGCCGTAACAATTTCGAAATCTAACTTATGAGCGTCTGTTAAAAATTTAAAGAATTGAAACAAATAGAGTTTGAAATAGAAGACATAATTTATTTCTATCCTGTTTCATATTAATAACATTTTCAGTCAATGTCTACACAGGGCAATTGATAATTTTTTTATTAAGTTATTTAACAGCCTTAATTAAGGAGCCCTGGTGTAGCACTGTAGGATAATGCACTGGACTGCATGGTCAGTTTGAACCACAAGGTTGGTGGTTTAAGTTCACCAGCCGCTCCTCAGAAACCCTATACAGGGTCATAACAACAAAAGCATGTTATATCTTTAACCTATTTTCTCTTTTAGGAAATTAACCATTTTCTCTCCATAAGTGTTTATGATGCCCTTCCATTGACAAGACTTGAAGGATTGAAGGATCTTCGAAGACAATTGGAGCAACATAAAGATCAAATGAAGGATCTTATTAGAGCTTCTCAGGGTACTAATTTTAATGGCATGAATTATTTGTTCCTATTTCTTTTTTAAAGGATTTCCCATAAATTCTTGCTGGTAGCTTTATTTCACTTAGTTCAGACCCTCATCATTTCTCATCTAACCATAACAAACTTTAATTGCTTTCCTTACATCAATTTGCCATTTTATCCATCCTTACATCTCTGTCAGAATGATTTCTCTGAAACTTAAACATCACCATGTTATAACATGGTTTTAAAATTTTTAACTTTTTCTACCTAAAGAAAAAGAAATAATTTCTTAGTGTTAAGCCTATTGCTCCAGTTTCAGTGAAAAATATATGGCATTTTAAGCCATGTAACTATTATGTGTGCACATGTATTTTGTGTCTATGTAATTATATACTTGTGTATGGTTTTGGTGGTGGTGGTGGTGTGCCGTGGAGTCGATTCTGACTCATAGCGACCCTGTACAGGGTTTCCAAGGCTATAAATCTTTATGGGAGCAAAATGCCTCATCTTTTTCCCACAGAAGAACTGGTAGATTCAAACTGCTGACCTTGAGATTAGCAGCCCGATTAGTAACCACTACGCTACCAGAGCTTGTATGTTTTTAGATGTGCATATATGTATATGTGTGTATCTAGGTTTTTTTTTTTTTTTTTTTACAGTTCAGAAAATATCCATATTTATATTAATTTTTATTTGAGTTTTAAGTTATTACAGCTTTCCATTTAAGGAAACTTGGTTGTATTTTTCTGTATCCATTCATTTTTTATTTTTCTATTGTATTTATCCTCAGTATGTTTAAAAACTAGTTTTGGTTTTGAGCATCTAATCTCAGGATTTCTAATGTATTTGTTTGAATATTATGTATATATGTTCTACATGAATGCCTCTATCTCTCACTTCCTGTATTTGAATATATTATTGGCCTATACTGAACCTTAGCCAATATAGCTATTAGCTACTTGGGGCTATTTAATTTAATTTTAAATCAATGAATAGATTAATAAAATTTAGATGGTATTCCTATGAAATGTGGGTTCTGTGGAGTAACATGTGGCTGGTGGCTGCTGTATCGAATAGCACAGACTCTAGGACATCACCATCACTACAGAAAGTTGTATGAAATAGTGCTAGTGTAGATTTTAGAAGCAAGAGGATAAAAAAATGAGCAGTTTCTCAAGCTCTCTTCTAACTTTAGTGTTGAATTATTTCAAGTGTTTTGGATTATGATTTTGCTAAGGTATTTATTACTCTGCAGTTTATTTAAGGCACCTTTCCCTGAAGTTCAGATCCATTTAATACAGAGTTGTTGAGCTGCTTGAGATTTAAAGCCTTTTTAATCTTCCTGAAAGTTTTCTCATCAGATTATTTATGTGCATATTTCCAGCAAAATTGTCTTCATAATTTAAAGTAATTTTTTCCAAACTACTTCTAGAAAACCCACAAGATGGAATTATGGTGAAGCTAGTTATCAGCTTGTTGCAGCTATCCAAAATGGCAGTAAACCATACTGGTGAAAGAGAAGTTTTAGGTAAATTGTTTATCTGAGTGGTTGAATTTTTATGTTTCTATGTTCATGTTTATAATTCTTCAAAATATAAAAAGTTTTGTTATTTGGGGTATTGGGTAAATGTGATATGGTAGCTAGTTATGTTTCTAATTCATTTAGATTTCCATAATTTCTTGCTTTTCGTATTTTCCTTCCTAATACCTTGACATAAGATAAAAGGTGTGATTTGTACATTGTTGTTAAGTGCCATCAAGTCAGGTCTGACACATAGCAACCTTATATAGGGTGTCCAAGGAGGAGTTAATGGTTTTGAATTGCTGACATTGTGGTTAGCAGTCCAGTAGTTATTTGAAAATACCTTAATAGATAATTGGGAAACTCATAAATAGCGATTTGTAGATTTGATAGGCTATAAATCAGTTGGTTGCTAAGATATTTTAGAAATGTATTATTCTTTCTGATATTTAGTATCTTTTTTTATAACAAATATAAAAATGAAGACTCGAATATTAAAACAGAATTAATGACCTTTTCTACCATTATTTGGTGGAGAAAGCCTAATGTCAGTTGTTATCAAGTGCTTTTGAGTCAGTTCCAACTCATAGCGATCTTGTACAGGGTTTCCGAAGAGTGGCTGGTGAGTTTGAACCACCAACCTTGAAGTTCAAACCAACTTTGTGATCCAGTGCTTATCTTGCAGTACCACACAAGACTTCTAATGTCAGATAAGTAGTTAATATTAATGTTCCTGGTAGCATGAGCAGGTTTGGCTCAAAGCCTGGCAATTTAAATTTATCAAGAATCTGTGAGGGAGCATGGCCTGGTGATCTATTTCCATAAGATCTTAGTCAGTGAAAACCCTATGGAGTGCAGTTCTATTCCGATGCATGTAGGGTTCCCATGAGTTGGAACTGACTCAGTAGCAGCAGTAGTATCCAGTACTTAAAAGAAATTCTACAATATCTTGTGTAATACAGGCATTTAGATATGATGATCATGATATAGAAATATCAAATGATTAACTTAGTATCATTTCAAATAAAAATGGAACTCAGAAGAGGTACTTCACAGATTCTGTTATCTTTCAGTTGAATCCGCCTTAACTTCTCATTGGGAGTCTAGTATTTAGGGTACCTCCTTTTTTGTAAACTTTGTTGTTGTTGAAAATATATACAGTAAAACAAACATTTAGTGACATTCTTCGAGTTGTACAACCATTTTCACCTTCCGTTTCTGAGTTGTTCCTTCATTCTGGATTGGGTGCCCAAAACCTAGACAACACCTAGGCCTAGAGGAACTCCATCTAAGGCTGGGCACTCAGCAGTCACATCCCTCCTCCACCCACCTTGTGAGTTCCTTGGTCAGCAGGAGCCCCTCAGAATTTTCTTCTCTTTGGGGCCCACAACGTCACTGATTTTTGGGTGTTTTTTACTTTCATTGTTTTGGTTTATTCTTTTTTCTCCTTCCTCTTTTCCCTTCCCTTAATTTTTATTCTATCTCCATTATTATTTTCTCTTCTGTTCTTCTGTTTCTCATTTCCACTCTTCTTTTTTTTTCCTCTTTATTTTTCCTGTACTACTCTCTCTTCTCTTTTTCTTTTCAACTTCTCTCTCTGTTTATAACTGTTTTTTTCTTTTCCTTTTATTTTTCTCTTGTACAACTGCTTTCTCTTTTTAGTTTTTTTCTTTTTTTATTGTTGCTGTCCATTTTTATTACTTTTTTTCTCCTTTATTATATTTTAATATAATTTTTTATTATATTATTCTGTTTTAACTGTTGTTTACTTGTTTGGTTGTTCTGTTTTGTTTTCCTGTGTGTGTTTTCTTCTTTTACCCCAGCCGATGGGAGACAGCAACCTTGCCCAGATATCTCAGCCACAGCCTTACACTCTGTAGCTCCACTCACTGAACAAGAGCCAGTAACAGCTCGCATACAGTGATTCCTGCTGTGGTGCTGTTTGTGAACACGCTGGACTGCAAAGTCTACTTGAACCAGGAGGCCTGTGCTTCAAGCTCACCAGCTGCTCCTCGGAAATCCTATACAGGGTTGCTATGGGTAGGAACCTGACTGGTCATCACTTAACACAACAACAACAGCATACAATCTGATTAACAATAGACATCAGCCAGCACTAGCCAAATCCACCTTAAACTGAGCTGCACATACAGCAAATGGAAAAGAGTGCATGTTTTCTTTCCTTAATCACACCCACCAGGAGACAGTTGATGAGAGCCTAAAAGCACACCAACATCAATTAAATACAAACAAAACATCTCTACAATGACTTGGAGACAGCAGAAGACATTAGCTCACATGGAGAAACAAGAGAGAGTCACTCAAATGACCAAGCTGCAGAGCCAGAAAATGTTTCTGAGGAAAAAAACATAATGGAACTACCTGAGAAAAAATTCAAAAGAATAATATTTAGATATCTTCAATGGAGTTACAGAAAGATTGAGGAAAGCAAGGAGAAAAACAGAAAAAAATTTAGAAGGATTTAGGAAAGCACTAAAAAGAACAGGTAAAATCAATGTATATTTTGAAGCAATACAAAACCTGCAAATAGAAATCTTGAAGATAATACTAAGGTCTCAGAAATGGACAATACATTGAAAGGGCAAAGAAGCAGATTTCAATGAATAGAACCCAGAATTAGTGTCCTTGAAGATAATTTTTTTCAATATCAGTAAGCTAGAAAAATATTCTGAAAAAAGAATGAAAAAATCAGAAGAAATCCTGAGATTTATGTGGACATCATAAAGAGGAATAACTTACAGGTAACTGGAATTCCAGAACAGGAAGAGACAATAAAATGCACAGAGAAAATTATCAGAGTTGCTGAAAGAACCCTTCCCTAACATCATGAAAGATGAGAAGATAAGCATACAAGAACGGAATGAACCCCAAACAGGATAGACCCCAAAAGAAAATCATCAAGACGTACCATAGTCAAACTTTCCAAAACAACAGATAAGGAAAAAAATCCTGAGAGCAGCTCAGAAAAAACAGTTATCTACAAAGGAGAACCAATAAAACTAAGCTCTGATTTCTCAGAAATTCAGTATGCAAGAAGGCAATGGGATGACATCTACAAAACTCTGAACGAAAAAAATTCCTAATAAAAAAACATATACCCAGCAAAACTACCCCTCAAATACAACAGCGAAATTAGATAAACAGAAATTAAAGGAATTTGTAATAACCAGACCAATTTTACAAAAAATACTAAAGGGTGCTCTTTGCACTGAGAACCAACGATCTGAGATTACCATACATAACACCACAACCCAGAACTCAATCCAGATATAGAAGTATCCAAAGTAGAGTAAACATATTGTTGTTAAAGTGCCATAGAGTTGGTTCCAACTCGTAGTGACCCTGTGTACGTTTTCTGAAGAGCAGCTAAATCAACTACAAAGCAAAAAGAAGGAATCGTATAGATACATAATTACCAAACTGCGAGGTAGCCAAGTAGATTTTGAGATAAAACAGACTGTTTTAAACAGGGAAGAATACTAATCAAATCCAGGGTAACCTCAAAGAAAATGAATATGCCTTCACATCAAAATGAAAAAAGAGGAAAATCAAACTTGTAGTAAGCATTAAAACAACAGTAATGAGGAAAATGAAAACCCATAAACAAAATTAACTCAGCACAGAAATTTATGTGGAGCACAGAAACTAGCAACACCTAGAGACAGCACACACCAAAATTACAGTATTCAGTTTATTCATATTGATAATTACATTGAATGTAAATGGATTAAATGCCAGTCAAGAGACAGAGTAGCTGAATGGATACAAACATTGGTATGTACACATAATGGAATACTCCGCAACTTTGAAGAACAAGAATGAATCTGTAAAACACCTCATAACATGGATGAACTGGGAGGTTAAATGAAATTAGTTGAGTGAAATTAGTCAATCACAAAAGGACAAATATTTTATGAGACCACTGTTGTAAAAAGTTAAAAAAAACTTTTCTTGTTAAAAAGAAACTTTCTTTTATGCTTACCAGGGATGGGAGGGCAGGGAAAATTATTCACTGGATAGGGAGTAGACACATATTAACTTGGGTGAAAGGGAAGGTAGAATACAAGAGGGAAGTTGGCACAGGAAAGATGAAGGTAGTGGATGATACAGGGAGGAATGCAGAGTTAAAGTGAACAGCGGTAAATACTGTTAGTGGTACATGGAAGAGATTGCAGTCAATATAATGACACGAACTATATGGTTTGTTGAATGGGACTGATGATCGTTTCTGAAACCTTCACTCAATTAATAAAAAGTTCTTTGAAAAAAATTCAATGTATATGCTGTTTTAAATGAAAATCTCATGTTAAGAGAGTGAAAATTGGAAGAAAGTAGTGCAATTTATGTACTCAAAAGGGACTCATCCAAATTATATAAAGAATTCCTACAAATCAATAAAAAAGAAGACAACCCAATGTTAAAGATGGACAAAAGACTTAATGGACACTTGGCAAAAGAAAATACCCAAATTGTTAATAAATAAAAAGATCGAGTTGGTTCCGACACATAGCAACACTGTGTAGGATTTCCATGGATCAGCTGGTGAGTTTGAACCACTGACCTTATGGTTCCAACTGATCTTGCAGTCCCAGCGCATTGTCCTGCAGCTAAATTAACCACTCACAAAAATGACAAAATATAAAGACAACACTGTCAGTATTAGGGAAGATTCAAGGAACTGGGACTGTCACACATAGTTGGTAGGAGAATAAATTAGTGCAACCAGGTTGAAAAACATTTGGTATGGAGACAAACATGGAAGCTATACAAGTAGCTACTTAGTAGTCAGGCTAATTAAATTCTTCACTCAAAATCTTTGAAAGCATACCTAAACTTTGAGGAATGACAAAGCAGCAGTTTATTTTTGGTTTGAAAACTACTGTTTTATGTTTGATTTCATGCCTATGACTTCTAAAATGAAATGTCTGTATACAGAGGCTGTTGGATCCTGCTTGGGAGAATTGGGTCCTATGGATTTCTCTACCATTGCTATACAACATAGTAAGGATGCATCTTATAATAAGGCCCTTGAATTATTTGAAGATAAAGAACTTCAGTGGATTTTCATAATGCTGACCCATCTGAATAATTCACTGGTAGAAGATTGGTGAGTGTTTATTGATACTTTACATTTGATGCACTTATTTAATCTGAAATTCGAAGAGAATGTTCATTACCTAAAGAGGCTTAGTGGTTAAGCATGCAGCTACTAACTTAAAGGTCAGAGGTTTGAGCCTACCAGCCACTTCTAGGGAGAAAAATGTGGCAGTGTACTTCCATAAAGATTATAACCTTAGAAACCCTATATAGTAGTTCTACTCTTCTCTATAGGATCCCGATGAGTCTGAATCACTCAGAAGGCAGTGGGTTTGGTTTTGGTTTATGTATCTCTTTGTAAGTATAATAAATGCTAATTGTAGTATCATTAATATTTAACCTCCTTTAATACACCTATCCATCTTTCTATTCATTATCTTAATTTTAAAATGCATTTCAAACTAATTCTGGCAATTTTTAAGATTCCTTTTCCCTGCCCCCAATATGAACTCCTGATGTGATACTGTAGGATCAGCACTGGACTTCAAACCACAAGGTCGGCAGTTCAAACCCACCAGCTGCTCCTCAGAAACCTTGTACAGGGTCACTATGAGTCAGAACTGACTCGACAGCACTTAAAGAACAGCAACCCCCAATTTACAAACATTAAGTGTGTCAGTTACAATAATTTGAAATTGGGTTTTCTGAGAAATAAGTAAAGAGATATGAGGCTGAGTCAAAAAGTATTGCCATTAGAGTTCCAGTTCATACATGCATGGGCTTATTCCAAACAACATGTTTAAACATATCCCTGATCACTTGATGGCTGCAGACAAGTTCTCTCAGTGATACATTTGTCTTAATCTTGATAGAGTGCCTTAAAAAACTTTCATTCAAAACAGTGGCTTCTGAAGGGATTTTCTGAGCCAATTGAATTCAGGGCAGAGAAATCAGCTCAAAGGATTATGGTTTAGGAATTCCAAAGGTGTAAACTTGATAGATTTCTTGAAGGACCAGAACAATCACAGAAGCTTATGAAGAAGTTTTGAGAAAATTGAAAAGTGCATTGGTAAGAAAAAAGTCAGGAAAGTTGCACCAAGGAATTTTTCCAATCATGACAATGCACCTGCTTATTCTTTGAGGGGCTGTCCTTTGAGAAAATCATTGGGAAACCTTACTCATCCACCCTCTATTCCTAAACCTTGCTCCTTCAGACTTCTTTTTGTTCTCTATAAAAGAACATTGAGCAGGAACCTACTTTTAGTCTCTCCTAGCATGCCAAAACGTCCAAAACTTAGATTTAGGAACAATAGAGAGGAAGTGCAATTTTGGTTTCTCTATATAACATTTTTTTTACAGGAAAAAAAAATTAGTAGTTATTTTTAAGGGACTTCAGTCCTACAAAGAGGAAGCTGACCAAGGGATCTCCAAATACAGTAATAGTCCTGAAAGACTTTTCTGAGGAGGTGTCACTTAGCTGATCTGAGTTGAGTAATCAGGAATGAGTTTATAGGAGGTAACATTCAAGTGGAAATAAGCTTGTGTTTGAAGAACAGAAAGAAGCCTCGTATTGGGGAAGATAGTAGGAGATGAGATTGAAAAGGTATAATTAAATCTGTTTAGCAAATTTGAATTTTATTTGTTATGTAGGAGTAAAACATAGAATTTTAAGTATAGTGACAGGATGCAGCTTACAGTTTTTACTTTGATTTGTATATTATGAATGGATTTTGAATGGGTAAAATTAGAAATATGAAAATAGTGATTATTAAACTTCTGCAAGCGGACATGATACTAACTTGGATTTGAGTGGTAGTGGAGAGAGATGTGGATGAACCAGGATGTGTGTTACCATAAGCCAGCAGGATTTGCTGATAAATTGGATAGGAAATAAAGAGGGATTAAGGAAGAATCCAAGTTTAGGTTCTGAGCAGTTGGGTAATACCATGGTTTTTATGCTTTTATTTTAAACTGAGTATATTCAAAGGAATAAAAACTTATACTTATTAATTCACAGTATCAAAGCTCTGACTTTTTTTTTTTATCAGCTATCTTATTTTCAATAGTCTTGTATTACAGCCCCTCTGTTCCTATTTTTTTGATGCAAAATAGAAGCATGTAGTTTTTTATTAGAGAATTTAGATGCCTTGCCTGTTGATTCTCAACTAGGTTCCCCTCTGGTTTCCAAAATAAATATGTACTTACTGTTTGTTTAGAATTGTTATTAATAATTTTATCATTTTGGGGAAATTCTATTCTTCCCTACACAAAATTATTTGTGCCTCACCAGAGATTATATTAATAAAATAGTGTTTTCTTGAGTTAATTTCTTCTCATTCCTTTTAACTTATACTTTTGTTGTTATTGTTAAGTGCCATCAAGTCAGTTCCAACTCAGCAGCCATGTATAGGGTTTCTGAGGAACAGCTGGTAGGTTTGAACTGCCAATCTTCTGGTTGGCTCTCCAGTGCTTTCCTGCAGAGCCACAGCAAGACTCCTGTAACTGACAGCAGTCTTAATGTAAACTTTAGTATGTTAAATAAAAGGAACTTCTTTTGCAGTTATTAGTAACTCAAATTGCTTGAATGAATATTAAATTTTCTTTAATAATTTAGTCTTTGAAGCTATAGAATTTTATAGATGTAGAGTTTCCTGTTACTATACAGTTTCTCATTTTATCTTTTTTAAATGAACATTGCTTAACATTCATCAAGATTAATAACTGATGTAATTTATAGACATTTTAATTACATGATTTTCAGTGTCAAAGTTCGATCAGCTGCTGTTACCTGTTTGAAAAGCATTTTAGCCACAAAGACTGGTCATAGTTTCTGGGAGATTTATAAAATGACAACTGATCCCATGCTCACTTACCTGCAGCCTTTTAGAACATCGAGAAAAAAGGTACGTCAAACAATAAATGCTTATTGAATGAGCACTATGCCTGCCACCATTTTATTTACAATGGGCTATGAATATCAAATGGCTAAAATCCTAATGTACTAACATTTAACTTTTTCCTAGAAATAATTGAAACTGTCTCTTGAAGCTTTATGATCATTTTTTATTATAACAGTGTGGAAAAGCTGACAGGAATGATGGTTGAGTTGGGAAGGCAGGTTCTTAATGACAGACTTATAGCCTGTATTTTTGTTGTTGTTGTTTTTCACTACCACTGGGTCTGTTCCAGCTCCTAGTGTCCCTGTATAGGGTTTGAACCTCCTACCTTGTAATGAGCAGTCCAGTACTTATCTTATAGTACCATACCAGGACTCCTTAAATCACTGTAGTCTTAACATTTAAACATCTTATTTTATCTTGGAGTCAGTTCTGTGTGGTAGCTTTGTACTGCTTTTGTTAATGAGACAGATGAGGCAGAGTTGGTGATTTGTTTCATATTCCACTAGTGAGTGGCAGAACTGAGAATATCTAAATTTCCTGCTAGGTTGGTTTTCACCGTATCACTCTGCCACTCATAAACAAAAGTGTATCTCGATTTCAAAATGTAACTATTGTTCACATCTTTGGTTTTAAGTGTATTTAGTTTCATTTGGAAGCAAGTGTATTTATAGGAGAAGTAAATATATATTTCTAATGATCTTATTAGCATTTTCTGCCTAGTTTTTAGAAGTACCTAGACATGACAAAGAAAATCCTTTAGAAGACCTGGATGAGACAAGTTTGTGGATTCCTCAAAGTGAAAATCATGATGTTTGGATAAAAACTCTGACATGTGCTTTTTTGGATAGTGGAGGCATAAAAAGTGAAGTTCTTCAGCTATTAAAGCCAATGTGTGAGGTAAGTCTAGCTTAGTCCCTTTTTACTTTTAAAAAGTTTTGTTTTTCCCACTCATTTCAGCTGTTATGTCATGTTTTGGGCCTGTATATCTTAAAAAGGAGAGTCGTGGTGTGATGCCATAGGATAAGCACTCTACCTCAAGGTTGATTTGAATCACAATGTTGGCAGTTCAAACCCACCAGCCACTCCTCAGAAACCCTATGCAGGGTTGCTGTGGGTTGAGACTGACTCAGTGGCACTTAGCAACAGCGACAACTCTTTGACAGTGCTGTAGTGCTGCACATCATCTTCATGCACCATCACCCGTACTCAGCTGCTGTGAATCCCTCACACTGGGTACCTTTGTTTACCTTTAATTTCATGTAATAGGTTTAAGCTTTGGAGGAGCAAAATACAGCATAAGTCATTTCTAAAAGTACAAGTATAATATATTTCAATGCAGAGTAAGATACTAAACCAAACAAGTTTATACCCTTTTATCAAGTGTCAAAACAGCACAATGTATTTTAAGACTTAGAAAATTAACCTAACTTTTAGTACTGTCAAACATGATTCAGCAGAAATGTAAAAACACACAGTGTCTAACTAAGTCAAACATCTGCTAATTACAAATATCTGAAATAAACAATAAATGAGTATTTGGGTAAAGTGCTCACATTGAGAGCTGTCTGATAAACAGCCCTTGTTTTCTATAGTTAAAGGAGTTGTTGTTAAGTACTGTGGAGTCAGTACTGACTCAGCAATCCTGTCTAGGGTTTCCAAGGAGCAGCTGGTAGGTGGCTTTGAGCTTCCAATCTTGCTGTTAGCAGTCCGGTGCTTTGCTGTAGAACCACACCAGGACTCCAAAGTAAATGAGTAACGGTGACTAACTCATCACATTCTGTTAACAATATATACTGCATTGGTGCCAAGTTAGGCAGTTGGTTTGAACCACAAGGTTGTCGGTTCAAGCTCATCAGCTGTTCCTTGGAAATCCTATACAGGGTCACTATGGGTCAGAGCCAATTTGACAGTACTTAACAACAAAACAACAAGGAGAATGATACCCTGGATGCCCCATTCATTTCCCATTAGTGAGCAGGCCTAAAATTTTTATAAAGTTTTGACTTTTGTTCAGAAGATAAAATATTCCAAATAAATATGACTATATAAACAACTTTTTATTTTAAATTCTCTGGTTCCAAAAATGACTTTTTTTCACTTCTCTAAGTTTAAATTTAAGTTTTTCACTCATCTCTGCCAAGAAATTTGGAAGACAACTATCTGGCTGACTGACTGGAAGAGATCCATATTTGTGCCCATTCCAAAGAAAGGTGACCCAA